GTAGCTCTCTTTTATAATGGCAGCGTGTGCCGATCTGTCCCTTCGACATCTTACCGTATAGCTTACGAGATTTGTATGTTGTAATTTAATAAATCTCAATCAATTCGATAAAGTTTGTGTTACTCTAAGTTTGGTCGGTTCGAGGGAATGTTGTCTACAGGGCGAGACAACCTCCCTAGGAAACGATCTAGTAAGATCTGTCAGATGGAGACAATATTGTGGAGTTTCACGAGCCGTGGTATGAACAATACTAGTGAATAACATATTTCTCTTCGACTACCGCATATCGCGTTTTACACCACTTCTCGTAAAACGGGTGAAACTCCTATGTGGATAACAATTGTTATCGTTGCGATTTTCTAGCGGATCAACAGCACAGAGAAACAGATGTCAAGGATTGTGGTAAAAATGATGGAAATCGACGACAATTCTTTATAATTATTGTCTATTATCAAACGTGCTGTATATAGTCAATGCATGATGGAAGATACAGTAATACAGCGTACCAACGCTGAAAAACGTTGTTGAGATATTCCCCACGCGAACGACAAAGTGGTTAGCTTTGAAGTCACTAGATCAAGTCAACACGGTCCCAAACAGAGTCGAGGGTCTCGAAAAAGATTTTCGAGATTCCATTCGGGTTCGATTCTAATGTTACTGGACTCGAGGTAAGCAATATAGGAGTTCTAATAGTTCTATGAGATAATCACGAATACATTATCATCACAGCCTAGAGATACTGCAAGCTGTATGCCACAGACACAACGGGGGCACAATAGAAACGAAACGGTCCGGTATAGTAGCAGGAGAACGACGCCATTTCGAGGTGATGAAATTCATCTCAGTAACTCCACAGGCATCGTCAACACGATGCCAACCACTTGATTAATTAAGCTCGAGAATGGTTTTGGCATTTTTCCAGCAGAGCACCACCGACTAATTGGACTCACACCACAGGCTAGATCGATTGTAAACTATATTGCGCTTCCACCTTAGTCGACTTTTTTCGATTCGGAGTTCACTTTAGTATTCATGGTTCGATCAACGGTGGTATTGTCTGTACTCGGTGGGTGGGGGGGTGTGTATGATCGCTTTGCTCAGGAGTACTGAATAAAGAAGTTTATACACGACTTTGGGAGGATGATAATTTACCAAAATTTCCTCACCGAGACATGCAGTTGACCATGCGCGTATTTTGCCACACTATTTCTGCTATTCCAGCAGCCTAACGTCGAATTGACCAGAAGTCTCCCACTGAGCCCAACTCGCTGATGAACGCATCCCAAAAAGCAATTCATAAAACACAAGTATAAACACCCCTTGACAAGAGCATTGCTAGCCTTTACTTCGCCATCATCATACGACTGAGAAGCAGCGGAAATCATCCAGTTGAGAGGCAGACGCCGACTCACACAAACTCCTCGTAATTAATTTGTCCATCACCGTCAACATCAGCCTCGCGAATCATCTCATCGACCTATACAGGAATGAACACCAGTTCAGGTTTATGAACCTACTTCCTCATCGGTGAGTTTCTCGCCGAGATTGGTCATAACGTGACGCAGCTCGGCAGCGGAGATGAATCCATTTCCATCACGATCGAACACCTGCAAACCAGGGCTCTCAATCTTCATGAAGTCCACCACACGTCACCTTGAAAGCTTCGATGAGTTCCTCTTCGGTGTCGGTGTCTTTCATTTTACGCGCCATCAACGACAGAAACTCCGGGAAGTCGATCGTGCCTGTTCATAAGCCTTCCACCAACAACCACCAAGACGCCTACCGTTTCCATCAGCATCGACCTCGTTGATCATATCCTGCAACTCGGCCTCTGTCGGGTTCTGTCCTAGAGATCTGAAAACGAATATAACATAAAAAGGCGTGGTAAGACGACGTTACCGCATCACAGTGCCAAGTTCCTTGGTAGTGATAGTTCCATCACCGTCCTTGTCGAACAGCGAGAACGCCTCCTTGAACTCGGCGATTTGCTCTTCAGTGAGTTGATCGGCCATAACGTTGATAAACTCAGTACCAGAACGACTCCGTTTAGCAACTCCAAGGAAGGTATCTTGGAAAACGGCCGGACTCAAGCGCAAGTCCTCAAAGGGCAACCGCGCGCGCCCTAGTGATCGATTTATATTGAATGCGGCCCGATGGAATTAACATGGAGACCGACTTGAATCGAACGAAGAGTGAGTTATTACTGGTGTTGGGATATATGTTCGCTTTTATCAGCTGAGCTCAGGATTCTTCGAACTATTTATAAAAGTTTACATGCAAATTCGGGTAGAAGTGTACAGAAACCAATGAGAATTTCCTCCCAAAATTTCCACAAAAGTTATCAACACATGTGGTTGACCATTTGCATATTTTACCACAACGGGTATTATACTTTTAAATTCGACTTATTCTCTTTTGGTTTTTATATATTAATTTTCGAAGGAGACGTTTTTTTCTGTGGACTCCACTTGAAGGCATTCACTGGACAGCGTGGAAAAATATGCACATGGTCAACCACATATGTTGGTGACAATATTGGAATTCTGAGGAAATTTTGGTTAATTCCTGTACATTTCTACTCTACTTTGTATATAAACTCCTATAATTAGTGAGGAAACTCCTAGGGTCAGCTAAGGAAAGCCAACATATATTACACACATACATTATATACACTGTCACTGGGTGATAATATCACCCATGTATTTTATACAAAATCCAAGAAAGACAAGTTTGAAGGGTAAACCCGAAACCCCACCCGAAACCCGACAAGGCAACCAGAAACCGAACTGCTGATAGCGAGCGACAAACCTCCTTGGATTTTGTAGTTTACCCGGGCGTTCATCGTCTCGTTTTCGAGACGGTTATAGTTGGGAGAGTTTATTCCAATAAACGTGTATACAGTTATAAACGACCAACTTCGGTGGAGGGAGATATTCACATATGTCGGTGACAATATGGAAATTTTGGTAAACGCTGTTGTTGACTTCTGATGGTGATGAATAAATATGCATGTTGGAAAATCCTTGGATATGAACACGAATTATCAGTTTGAAAATATCACTCGTTTATTTCCTAATTTATTGGTGAGTTCATGAAAATTTTCTACCATAATTTCGTAAAAAAACACAACTTCTGGAAAAAATTATGTAAATTTTACCAGTTTTTTCTTCGATCGTTGGTCAGGTCTCGCCGCCGACCTCCCAGAGCACATCTTGGCCGACTCAATTCTCTCATCGTATTCAGTCAATGAATATTACATCTATACTCAGGTAGCACCAACCGTCACTCGCCACGAAATTATGCAGTGTAGGTGTGCAAACATTGGAGTGCCGCGTTACGCTCAGAGTGGCTGTGGAAACGTCATTGTGAGGCGCGCGGCTTTCACCCGAATGATTCATCTCCGACTGCGAGAAATAAACGGTAATTTCCGGGTTGATTTTATTTCTGTTTAATGGAAGTTTTATTCGTTTTACGTGAAGTGGTGTAAAACTCGGTGAAAAACGCGATATTCGCGGTGATATGCAGTAGTCGTGTAGTTTGTTTTTCATATCACGGCTCGTGAAATGACTCAGCCAAATCAGTGAGGGATTAGGAGATTAGCTGAGGTTGGAGATTAGGAAAACCAACAAGAATTTTCCGAATTTTTCTTCAGAATCTTCATATTGTCACCAACACATGTGCATATTTTCTCACTTTTTTGTAATCACTTTCGAACGAATTTTACGTATTAAGTTAACCGAATTAGAATCGATTGAGAAATGTTTTCACTTGGTGGCGAAACGGTGTGGAGATGCGTCCCAAGGCTCAGACACGCTCATGGAGGCACGGCGGTTTGGCGGGACATTTATCGACGACGACATTCAGTTGAAAAGAGGTGAGGGGGAAAATGTCGTAGCCAGGGATCGATCCGGATACCTCGGAAAACCGCGCTAGTTTCGTTCATCTGTCATGCTCTATGAGGTTACCATCAGCTTTGAAATGTCGGTGTATATGGTAATTTACAGTTATTCAGCGTGAGGCGTGGGCAATAGGGATTTTCGATGATCATGATTCTAAGGAAACGCTCGGTGTAGCGATAATCGTTCGCTCTGTATGTGAGAAAAATTGAGACATCTCTCGTGGGAAAAGTGAAAAACGGAGTTTTTCACGCACTTTTTGGGTTAGCGCGTAAAAACGGTAACTGTCATTACGTACAGCACTTCAGTGCGGGTGGGTATTTCGTGGCTAGTGTTGGGTTTGACTAAATAAACGCTCGCCCTCAAAAATGCGTAAATTTTTCACAAATATGGTTTTCCTCGCGCTCTTAGTGAACGATTATAGGCTTTCCTCGGTGAACCTCAACGCATCACCCCCTAATTTAAGACTTCAGGTTTAGTCGCGGTCAGTACGTGGAGCGAAAAAGGGATTCGCGATCAGCACCAATATTGGATTTGAAGGTATCTTGGACAATCTTGCAATCTTGCAATTCCTCAACGCTCTCAGACGTTTTCCACATCAGCATTGGCTGCGTGTCGAACCGGGCGTATACTAGTGTATGATCTGAACGAAAACGATCCGTCTCGGGAGGGGTTCACTGCGGTGGCCAAGCCTCGGTCGGATTTAATACGGCCGTTAGAAACGGGTATGTTGTCGCGCTGTAGCCGAGTTTTTAGTGTGAAAATTAGATTGCATGTGTTTCTCACAAGTAGAGATTCGAGAAATCGTCGCGAAATTAGAGTAGTATGTGCAGTGCTGTAAAAAATGTTGGCCTTCCTCACCTGAGCTCAAATTTTTCCTCACTAATCATAGGATTTTATATACGAATTAGGAGCATATATACGATTAGTGTATAGAAAGAAATGTTGTGAACCTAGTGAAGGTGAACTCGACATGGTAATGAAGGAGTTGATAAGAGATTTAATAACAATTCATCTATGATTGCAAACACGGAAATATCTAGCTTAGCTTATCACAATCTGAATGGATTGCATATCGTAGAGCGATCGCACAAAAAGGGACATAACAGTAACAAGGATTCTCCAAATTTTCCTCAGAGGTTTCATATTGCCACCAACACATGTGGTTAACAATGCGCAAATTTTACCACACTGAGTATATGTGTGTTCAGATGCGGCCTTTCCTACGAAGGCTGTTGCTGCTCTTGCATGTCTGCCGTTTTCTGATGGTTATGCTGCTGGGGCTTATGCTGGTAATGTGGGAATTTCGTGGCGCGTGACGGTTGATTGCTGTTGTCTGGATTGATATTGAAATCAATACCATCTCAATTCAAATTCGCTTGTTTCTATGTGGTGGTATCTTATGTTCGTGCGTGCAAGATACGTATCATAACATACGTTGTTGATCTTGTCGTTGAGTTTTTCTCCAGAATGCGAAGAGGTTTTATTCCGATTTCAAAAATATCGTTTTTGATGCAGATGGTGGGCTTACGATATGGCGGCTCGACAACCAAGGAGCTGCAGCGAGCTGGGTTGGTCATAGAGGAGGGGCGGCCACATCGGTATGCCATATGGAAGGTGGTATGTTCAGGGAGGTGTGGTATGGAGTGTCTTTATCCAGGCTCGAAGCTCGCTTCTGTCGGGTCGGATGGTTACGGTCGTGTTTGGGACACTACAGCAGTTGACAAATGCATATGGTCATCTCCACCTCCCACTCGGGAAGGCGAGGAGGTAATTTTGTGGCGCGTGACGAATTGGAGGATAATTCTTTTTCGCAGCCCTCTATGCGGATAAAGAAGCAGTTCACGAGTGTGTCTAGAGTGGATGCTCATGTGGTCATCGCTGGGCGAAAGGACTCTTCCTGGCGAGTTTACGATACCCGACTGGGTAGCCGCGTCACTGAGGTCTGTGGACATTTTTCAAGTACACTTGGGAGCTCTTTAGCCAGGTTGGTAGATGCGAGATGAACGATTGGTGTATGTGTGTCGAAGCAGATGGTGGGCAAGGTTCGCATATGGTGAGTTGAAATCGATTAGAAGGGCGAGCGCTTTTATGGAAGTAGAATGTATCGATTGCTGCCAGCATTAGTGAAATTTACGAATGTTTTATTCGTAAGTATTTGGTGATGCGTTCTGTTGCTATAAAGTACCGCATTTGGATGCGTGTCGAACTTGCTATTGAAGGGGAGGTTCGAAACTTTTTGATGAATTTTTACTTTTTCGTAGTAATAGGACGAAAAAAGATATTATAGCTATTTCTGGACAGTACATTGGAGTTTCACCAGCCGTGATATGGAAAACACTAGTGAAAACATATTCCTGTAAATCGCGTTTTTCACGGAGTTTTACACCACTTTACGTGGGTGAAACTCCATTGTATTTTTATCAGTTGAGAATCATTTTTCGGGTATTTCCGACATATTTGCGGTGTTCATAGAAATCTCACAGGTTCGAGCAAGCGACAAAGCGGTGAAGATATTTGATCTAAGGCGTTGTGGAAGTCCACTGCAACAACGGCATCAGAGTCGGTTATATAATAATCGATCAACTGGGCGCGCGCTTTTTTTTCATAGCAGGTCCTCGCCTATTGACAAGGTTTTGCTCTGATGGGCGGTATCGGTTGGTATCTTGTGGGTTGGACGGGCGAGTTCTCGTGTCAAGTCTGGAGAGGGACGATTCGAAGCGAGGGCCTTCTGAGGTTCATAGTGAAGATGTGAGATTTTTTAATAATATACGATATCATAATACATTGGAGTTTCACCCTAGTGATATGAAAAACACTAGTTAAAAACATATTTTACGACTACTACAGGCCGCGTTTTTCACCGACTTCACGTAAAACGCGTGAAACTCCATTAAAGAATAACCCGTGATATGAAAAACATATTTTGAATTTCATTTCGCGAAAAACTCTTGTGAGTAGTGAATAACGCGTAAAACACGTGATATGTTTCACGTGATATGGTGTGGTTGGTCCGGTGGAATTCGCGATGTATTTTCAATTCACTTCATATCGCGTTTTTCACGTCGAGTAATATGCCACTTCACATAGAAAGAATAAAACTCCCATATTGGTCTCTCATAAAATCAGTTGAATTGGCCTTTAAAGTGGCCATCATTTCAAGTTGGTTTCTTCAGGATTATATGTTGGCTTGTGCATTCGACTCGGCTCGACTGGTTGTGGCGGGGCTCCGAGGCAAAGTTAATATCTTTGGCTTTGATGGTCGTTGAAGTGATGAAGATGCTGTTAAACCATTGTTTAATCATGCATGGACATGCAAGAATATATAACACGAGTTGTGTTGAAGTGGAGAGTGTGGGAATATATGTGCATATTTCGGCGATAATTTTTGAGGAAATTTTCGGAAATTATTGTTGGTTTCTGTACACTCCTACCCTGACTCGTATAATCAGCGAGGAAACTATATATGGTGTAGTGTAGAAAAGTACACATGAGACTTTCCTTAGAATTCTCATACTGTCACCATGTAGTTGAGCATAAGCATATTATTTCTGCACTCATCGTGTAATACACGACAAGTGTATTACACGATGTGCATTCCACAAGTGTCAATAACTGGCGAGACTATTACGAGTAAATCCGCCATGTTATCGTATAAGCCCTTCTCTAGAATTTGGTAGAGTGTACACTAGAATTCGTGGGCGTACTCATGTTGAAAACATGCTGAAGTCGTATTCTGAGCTGTATCTGATTGCCAAGCCGTATAGGCCTAGTGGTTGATCGCTCTTACACATACAATAGCCGACTCCTGTGCTTGCCAGAGGGCTCAACGACTATCACCGCGTGAGGAGTAAATGCAATAGAGAGAACACAGAATCGATTTCATAAACGGTAGGATACAAAAGTAAACACAACGTGCAAACAAATCCACAATCACTTTGTTGTGTGTAACGTAAGGCATTATACAGATAGTTGATATGAGATGAGATGGCATTCATCGTCAACAACAACACAGTGGAAGATCGTGGTAAATCGCAGTAGGTGGAGTAATTCACCGCTGGTGATTCCTCAGGGTTCTCTCCAACCCGCGGCTATACCCTAATAATGCAAGTATTATACTGACAACTACGCCTGGTCCGAAGGATACCGCACACGAAGAAACAGGAGATGACATACAGTGCATGACACTCCTTACTTTCCATTTTCCTCACACTTGGAGCATACGAGAGGATTTATGCTGGCGTCGAGTCATCCTCGGTGTTCACACTCGTGGAGTGGATGTATGAGTGATGACAAGTCCGGGGCCTAAAGTTTCGACCTCCGTGTTGTAGTCTACGATAGAGACAACATATGTGTATGCGTGCACCTCTTTAGTTATATTGCGCCTCTTATGTCGAGTTTCAAGACACGTGACGCCATAGGTTCACCACACTAACGAAAGATAACCCCATACTACAACCTTCAAACTGTTTAAGGAACAGTTCCACAATCCAATCGCAATCCTCAAAAGTGAAAAAGGCGTCAGATATCATCAATAACGGCTCATTCAAGGCGAAAGAAGACGGCTCGAGGAAAGACGATTTCATTAGAAACACAACTGAAACAATTGATAATGCGAAAGTTGCATGAAAATACAGTGCGTGTCGATTGGATATGCAGCTGTGTGCAAATCCGCAATATTACTAACAATAACAAACGCACATCGTCCACATATATCCCCCAACTCTCATAACACAACAGACACTTTAAACCAATATAACCATGATAATAACATGTGCTCAGAAATCAACAGTGAAATCGAACCCACTGAGAAAACCCAACATGACCATTTCCAACACAATACTGTCATCAGAAAGTATCATTTCCCTCACTAGCATAGGTCATGCATTGCCTGCTTACAGCAGCATACGAAACTAATTGAATCGGGCAAACGATCATCACATACGACGATAATAACCACGGGGCTTCATTTTACACACGAATAAACGTCGTCGTCCAACAACTGGTATTCCTCAGGACGGTAGTCTTCAAAATCATAGACAATTTCTTGCGTGATAAATCAGTATTGTACACTATAAGCACTTTGGCTTTAATCTTCATCCGAGCACCATACGGGATACACTCCGGAACCTGAAAACAATAACGAATGAAATTAAATCCATTCGCATTTTCGAACAACTTATGCGAAAATTCGCATAATTAACACGTAGGAATCCACAAAAATTATCACACAATTAATCATTCAACACATCAACACATAAGACACAATTCCAATCCTGCCAACCCCACTTACTTAGAGAGTTGGAACTTCTTCTTAACAGCTTTGAGTTGCGTCCCTGAATAATCCTCATTCGTAGCCACTTGCAATAATGCACATAGGTCCTTCGCCACCACCTTCACGTCGTGCTCAGTGGTAGGACAATGTACGGCCACATGTGGGGGCCACGCTGTCGACTTCCTCAACAACTTGTTGGATAAATACAAGGCGCCCGCCGCCAACTGACTTGCGGAATACTTCAGCATATTATACCTGATCGAAATGAATATAATATCATACGCACGACTCAATGGAAATGATAACCATAATCAAGTTGCGATATAAAAGAACATGAAAATATATACGCAATTTAATATAACATATATATTATAAAGCGACACTAAACAGAGAGAAAGCAACTTACTCTGGTAATGCAAGCTCCAGACAATACTGGGCCAAGAAGAAGTGCTTCTCATCGGCCTCCATAACCTTAGCATATCTTAACAGGAAGAACATAGGCGACGGTGTAGTGATGCAGAATCTAAAACAAACACCAATACAACACTATACGAGAGAAGAGACACTTACCCAAGCGTGTTGAGAATGTCAACTTCCATCTGCATCACTTCGTGACGTTGATAAGTCCGGTCGCATATACTGACTATGTCCTTCATCTCGGGAGCATATATATCCTCATATCTGACAGAAAACACCATCTTCTTCTCATACCACTCCTCAACCAACTTCGACTCACTTAGAAGCAATCAATAAACAAGTAACACCAACCAACTGCAGTCGTGTACGTGGGAGATTTGGACACTGCTCAAGGTAGCGATCAATTAAGTTAACCTGAAAACACACAAAGTCATCAACCGAGAGGAGCACCATCTATAGCTACCGTCAAGTAAAGCGTCTCAGGAACCAACTTGAATTTCCAATGTACCTCCACCAACCAATCGATCAGCACTGCACGCATACGCTGAGTGATATCATTCTGGGTCCTCTGCATGTAGTCATTAGCCTGCCTGTATCTGAAGCGGAGAGAAGATACTTTCCTTAAGGGACGATCAAGTCGGCCTACTTCTGTTCAACGCCATTCATATTGATGAAGATTGGATTCACATATTCCGCCACGAACTGAGGGTCTCCGAGATCCTGAAAATCGTCCCTCACAGGAGGGATAAATTCCTGAGTAAAAATCACTTGACGATCCTCTGGTGGGATGGTGTCCTTCCAGTCAATGACTGGGCTCATGGACTCTATTCTAGCCGGTGTAGTGCCCTGCATAATAGTATCATCGTCATCATCACCCAAACGTGCTTTACCTCGTGAGGCAGCGCCTGTCGTCATCCTGCAAAACCAGGCAGAATCATCCCCAAGACGAGACTCACCAGTGTGAGGAGGCAGAAAGTTTGAAGTGTTGCTGAGGTCCATGAACACCTCCCGTTTACGGGTTTCCATCACAGAATGACCATCCTTCCCAATAGGGACGTTTTCAGACCGCTGAGAGTGCTGTGAACGGTTGCTAGTGAGCATAGTAGTTAGAAGACTTTTGTTAGAGTCGATATCGACCGCTGGGGCAAATCGCGCTCGC